TTTATTTTTAGCATCTGGCCCCCCAAAAAGTCAACCAAATAGCCATTCTCTGTGTCATCTTGCTTCCTTCCTGCCTCAGAACTCCTACTGTGTTCTCCAGGATCCCTCTAAGAATGTTCACGCAGGACAGGAGAAATTCACCCAGCAACCAGAAGGACCTCACTGGCTTATCTGACCAGGAATGGGCATGTGGATTCCTGAGAACCAAAGAAAGGTTTTCTGTGGACTTGGAAGCAGCTCATCCCCTCCCTCCCCAAGGAAAACAGTTACAATGAATTGTCTTTCCCTCAGCTTGCCGATGCACAGCTGAGAGCCCCAATGCCCGCAGATACTTGACTACCATTCTGATGATCAAAGCCAACAGAGCTGGTGGGAAACCTAAACCCACAGTGGCTTGAGTCAGACACCAAAAACTCTGGACTGGTTCTTCATCATGTACAGTCCAACACATCTTGTTCACCCCAGCACATGGCAAGTTTACTCCCACAATGCACTAGGATCTATGCATGTAATTTTCCACCACTTGCTAGAATCCAATATTGGATTAAGCCAGAACCATGGATTTCCAGGAAGCAAGCTGGCTTTGCCCACAGCAACCTCCATCTCCCTGAAGGGAAGACCCTGCACTGTGACACTGACCCTGGGGAGGTGTGAATCAGCACCTACTCTCCCAGAGAGTGAGCCAGCTCTGCAGGAGACCATCAGAGTCCAACTTGATGAACCAAATGGGTTTATTGGGGTCACTTAGAAGAGCAGAAAGGACTCAGAGACAGCTCGCTGCATCACCAGACCTCACCCCAGGATGAGCGACAGGGCAGTAAGCTGGGCACCTGGAGCTCACAGAGCTTCAGCTCAAAAGGCGGGTGAGTTGTCTCTTCCAGACCTGGAATATTGAGCGTCTCTGGGGCAACCTGCTTTCTCTGAGCATGCCTTAGAAGCTTATGAAAACTTGGGGAGGGAGAGACCTTATTGGATAGGATCAGCTTCAGGGACTTCCTGAGACTTTCGTGTTGTTTACTTCTGGAGTTTAATGCCTGGAGCTTCAGGATTCCTTCCAGGATGGACTGTTTTAACTCTGGTCTGCTGTCCTGCTAAGCGTTTTCAGGATGTTGCGCCTGCTAGGTCAATTGCTTTGACTACCACCACCCTTTGAAGGTAGGCAAGGCACAGAATCAAGTCCAGGCCTCTTGGCACAGTGTTCAAGGCTCCTGCCCACTGCTTACTCCCAAGTTGCTCTGGCCACACGTCTGCCCCCCCAAGGGCTCCACTCTCCCCGCAGCACCCCACCTTTGTTTCTCAACCCAGCTCCTCTTCCACTAGGAAAATTCCTCCTCTGTTGCCCTCATCACTCTGGCAATGACTCAGATTCTCTGGAGACAGGGCCCCAAGGGAACTATGCTTCTAAAAAGCTCCCTGGACAGTTTCTGGGCCCAGCCAGAGTTGGAAACAACAGTGTAAATACAGACATCTCTCTCCCAGGCTTCCTACCATCCAAACCTCACCCTGGGCTGTTCTATAGTCCACATACAGAAGCTCTATCCCGTAACATGGAGTGGCATAGGCCAAGAGGAGGAAAAGTGGTCAGACAACTCCAGAAGGAAAGAGGGGAGGGAACAGGCTCCGTCCTTGAGTTCCTTGCACTGTTCTGGCACCTCCAGGAGAAAAGTTTTTGAAGCAGTTCGTGGGAGCCTCCAGGAGGAGTTCTGATGCTCTGAAGACCAGCAGAGACTCAGGCCTAGAGGGACCACGTTGGACCACCAAGGAATACCTCCCCTGTGTTCCAAATGTTGCAAACCTGGGCAGATCCAGGAGCCTCTCTGGCTAAGGCAGTTGCCAAGGCAGAGATCTCACCAAAGAGTCTTGAGTAATAGAATAAACAGAAGGGACCAGCTGTAGAAAACAGATACAGGCAGACGCCACAGGCGATGTCTCTACCATAACACACTTTGTCCACTTCTTACTCTAGGGAATATAGTTGGCTTTGAACTCTATCAAGACCAAGCCTCCTAATGACAGTGAACAGGACAGGGAAGGCAAGATTCACATGCCCATTTGACTCAGAACATTCAAAGAATACATATTTTCACCCTGCATTCACAACAGCATTGCACACAATAGTCAGAAGGTGGAAATAATCCAACCATCCATGGTGGGTGAACGGATGAGGTATATATCCATGCAATGGAGTAGTATTCACCCATCAGTGGTGATCAGAGCCTTATTTTAAAGCATAATTCTAAGTAAAATACGCCAGACACAGACAATAAATATTATGTGACTCCTCTTAGGTGAGGTATGTATAATAGTCAAACATATAAAGGCTGAAAGAATGGAGATTTCCTAGGGTGATGGGAAAAGAGACAGGTGATGGTTTATTTATTTATCACTTAGAAGCAAGGGGTTGTAGTGTATGCCTTTAATCCCACCACTTGGGAAGCAAAGGCGGGTAGATCTCTGTGAGTTTGAGGCCAGCCTAGTCTATAAAGCGAGTTTCATGACACCCAGGACTCTGCTTTGGAAAAAAAAAGCAATATTGTTATAATTTATTATTACTATTGCTACTGTCATTATTAATTACTTAGGTTGAGGGCTATAAAAATGCTTGGTTTGGGGTGGAGAGACAGCTCAGCTGCTAAGAGAACTGGCTGCTCTTCAAGAGGACCCAGGTTAGAGTCCCAGCAGCCACACGGCAGCTCAGCACCAGAATTAGGATTCCTTTATCTCACATGTATATGTATATATACATACAAGCCAAACACTCATACACATAAAATTAAAAATCTTTTTAAAATGTTTATATATACATTATAGATATGTGTAATATCACTGAATTGTACGCCTAAGACTGATTAAAATGAAATACTCTGTCATACTCAACTTGTTATACAAAAGGAAAAATAAAAAACAAAAAACTGGGCATGGTAGCACAGACCTAGAATCTCAGTTTAGGGAAGGGTGAGAAGGAGATTTGCATTCAAATAAAGCCTGAACTGATGTGGGATGCCCCTCTGTATGTTGTAAATGTGTTTAATACGATTGGCTGATGGGGAAGCTGCCTTGGCCTATGGCAGGGCGGAGTGTGGCTGTGCAGGAAGTCCAGGCTGAGAGACAGGAAGAAAGAGAGTCTCCGGAGTCAGGGAGACGCCAGCAGCTGCAGGAGGAGTGAGATGTCAGAGCATTATGGTAAACCACAGGGCACGTGGAGGTATGCAGATTGTTAGAAATGGGTTAATTTATATGTAGAGCTCGCCAGTAAAAAGCTGAGTCATCGGCCAAGCAATTATAATTAATATTAAGATATTAAGCTTCCAAATGATTATTTCTTAAGTAGCTGTGGGAACCTGCAGGCAGGACAGAGAAAAAGTTTAGCTACACTGGACATGTTAGTGGGACCCTTTCTCAAAAGAAAATAGAACAGGGTTTAGGAAGGGAGAGATGAGGTTGCTCAGAGGGTAAAGGCACCTGCAGCTCACATAGCATAGAAGGGATTCCTCAAAGTTGTCCTCTGACCTACACACACACACACACACACACACAGAGAGAGAGAGAGAGAGAGAGAGAGAGAGAGAGAGAGAGAGAGAACAGGTTTGGAGTGTAACTCACTGGCAGAGCACTTATCTACCTTGCACAGGATCTGGGGTTCAATTCCAAAAAAAAAAAAAAAAAAAAAAACCAAAAAATTAACCATACCCTCAATTTAAACCAAATGAAAACATTTCCTGTTTGGACCGGGCCTACCTAACAGCTCTGCAGACACTACAGGACCAAGCGATGAGCAGGACACTTCCACCCGGCCTTTTTCCTTCCTGCCCCTCCTGGTCAGCCTCTTGGCTGCTGGCTTCTTATTCTGGTTAGTTTTTGTCTGCTAGACACACTCCAGATCATCTGGAAAAGGGAACCTCTACCAGTGGTCTGTAGGGAAGTCTGTGGCGACATTTTCTTGATTAATGTTTGATGGTGAAGGACCCCAACTTCATTGGGGTCACAGTTAAAACTGTGGTTTTAACTTTAACCACAGTTATAACGCTCTGCAAAGGTTTTCAGATAGCAAGCTTCATTAAAGGCCGGGATGCTGAGTAAAGACACCTGAGCAAAGACAGCCTTATCTGGCTGCGAGACAGGATGGATTGGTCATAGGAACAAAGAAAGAGAAGATTGCGAGACCTGAGTCACGTAGAAAGCGAGGCTCGTCACAAGTCAGGGGCTGTGCAAATCGCCAGCCAAGCTAGGAAGGCAGGAAGAGATAAGAAAAACAGGTAGCACAACCCCCTCCAGGTGGGTCTGGACAACCCCCTCCTTGGTATTTAGGTAAAAGGTCAAGAATGTGCCACTCAGCTTAGCCTTATTTGAACTGACCAATGAAATGAAAGCTTTTCTGCTTCTGTACCCGCGCTTTTGCTCCCCTATAAAAACCCCTCATCCCCAGCCTGCAGGCGCGCAAGCTCTTCGAGAGACTTGTCGCCCAGGTACCTGCGTATCCACCAATAAACCTTCTGCTGTTTGCATCCGGCTGCGTGTTTCGACTGGTCTCTGGGCACGGGGTCCTTCCCGAGGGAAGACGCCCACGAGGGAGCCTTTCAATGGGAAAGGGCGCAGCCCACTAGAGGTGGTACCTGGGTTGTATAAGCAAGGCTTGGGGAGCAAGTCAACAAGCAGCACTCCTCATGGCCTCTTCTTCAGTTCCTGCCTCAAGGTTCCTGCCCTGACCTCCTTTCATGACAGGCTACAAATTAGGAGATCAAAGAAGCCATTTCCTCCTCATTGCTTTTGGTCACTGTTTTTATCACAAGAGAAAGCAAACTAGAACATTCTGTAGTGTGCCATCAACTTCTCAAGGACCAAGACACACACACAAGGTGGCTGGAGTTCATCTGCTGGCTTACAGCCCCCGGGAGGCCTCAACCTGGGCACCGCCAACTCATCAGAATTAGGAGCAGGTTCAGAGACTATTGTGTGGCTGGGCCATGGAATGAAAAAAGCAATGACATGCCTGGGGAGAACACACTTCAAAAAAGTTTTTATTGAATTTAAATTCCAAAGTACGGATACTTTTAGGCAATTTTGTAAAGACCCTGAATTTTTCCAGGGCTGGTTTTGGCTACTGTAAAAAACACCACACACACACACACACACACACACACACACACGGAATAACTTTCTGCTGGCTGTATGAGCTCTTTGGGAGAGGGGAATTTTCAAAGGCACTGACTGGTGACAGCGGTGGCTCTGGTCCTCACTCAGGCAGACAGCTCAGCCAAGGCCCTGTCCAAGGGATCCACGGACCAGTAGTTGTCATCCCAGCCGAGGAACCAGCCCACAAAGGATGGAGGCTCAAAGCCCTGCTTCACGACCGTGATGGGGGTCCGCCTGTCCCGATTAGCTGGGTCCGTCTCGATGTACCGCTTAGCTGCAGGCACACACGGAGAAGAAATCCAGTGAATCTTAGGGTCTCCTCCTCAGGGAGAGAGTTGGGGCGGCCAGGGAATGTGGTCTCAGCCCTACTGACCACCACCAATGCTTAAAGCAAAGTCCTCACGTGGACTGCCCCCAACACAGAAAGAACAGGAACTACAAAGTTCTCAGACCTTCCCTGAGTGTATCATTTCCTCCTGCTGATTAAGATGTTAAATAAAGAAGCCACTCCTAGAGCTCAGCCTGGAGATTAGCTACCAAGGTTCTGCTTTCCCACACAGGGACCCTAACAATAAAATCCCTTGGACATCCTGGGACTTGGACGTGGGCTTGCCTCTGCTCTGTCCCCCGGGAAATCAGGCACTCTGAAGGGACACATTTATTTCTTCACACCTGCGATAGCTTAGACCTGGAACATCCCTCAAAGCCAGGGTCCTCAGCCTGGGGGCAGTGAGAACTCTAAGGGGTGGTGTCTTCTGTTCCTTTAAGGTGACAGTGAGACCCTACCCTGTCATCTCTGTTCCAAGTCGATGGCTTTACTCTGAACAGACTCCCCACCACCTTAATACTTTGTTACAGGCTCAAAAATCACCAGAGTCTGAATCCACCTGGGCTGAGCCTTCTGAAATGACCCTTTGTCTTGATAAACTCATTGCCTCAGGCATTCACAGAAAGCTTCAGGGGCATCAAATCATCCCAAGCAGGGCTCCAGAGGGGCAGACTATGAGCAGGAAGACCCCACCCCCCACAACCAAGGTCACCACCACAGCTAACGCTCCCACCCCCACCCGAGAGCCTCACCCGAGGTCAAGGCTTCTGTCTTTTCCTCTTCCTGTGAGTCCTTTCCAACCCAGACAAAGACCTGGAGGTGAGACGTGAAAGGAAACTCCCATGAGAGGTGCTGGTGACACCATTCAACGCCATTCAAAAAAACAAGGGTGGGAGAGACAGAGCCATGCCGGAAGTAGTAGGAAGGCTCCGAGCTGGAGTGGCACAGCTTTTTGTTTGTTTTGGTGGAGTGGAAGACACCAGCAAGGAGAGAAGGTTAGTTAATTGCTACTTCACCTCTTTGATCAAGCAAGCTTTCAATACGGCCTTTGAATCTCAGTTTATTGATAAAGTCAATGATAGAGATTTAGTGGTGAGGACAGAGCTGGTGCCTGCAAGAACAGAATTCCCGCCAGGCTGAGGCATGAGCAGTCAGGTCACTGTCAGAGAAGCAACCAACAACCGCAGAGCCACAGCTGCTGGCCGAAATAGCGTAGAACAAGGTGCAGCCGCTGTGCCGAAGACAAAGCAACACAGGAGAACTTGGAGGCTGGGCCATCACCTTCACTGGGGTGCAGCTGAGAGGTGAGGCCCGGTGGGGGGGTGGGGGAGGAGCAGGTCCAGTTCGCCTCAGGCTGCACCCTTCCTCAAGACTCCTGATCCCAGTCTGCTTCACTCAGAACCATTGCGACAGAGTGGGCAGAGTTGGAAAACCCTCTTCATGAGTCCCACCTTCAAAGGTGTGGATTCATTCAACAAATGGGTGGACAGATGCTTTTAGCCATCCAACAAATGCATGCCGGAAGGCTACCCATCTCTGCGTCTTGACTAGTATATGTCTAAAGCTTGTGATAAAAAGTCCATGCCACCATGAGCCTTAAGATAAGTTTGGTCACACACAGAAACCACCATCTATTTTTCTTTAAATCTTTGTGTGCATATATATGGGCACACTTGTGCCACAGTGCACATGGGGAGGTCGGAGGACAACCTTGGGTGTGGGTCCTCACCTTACACTTTGAGGTAGGATCTTCTTGTTCAGTGTTATAACCAGACTAGCTGGCCTGTGAGCTTTTGGGGGATTCCATCTGATTCCTCTATTCTCCTCTCGCCTCAGGAACATGGGATTGTGGGCACACCTTATCACTCTCAGCCTTTCCTTGAAGTCTAGGGACCTGAACTGAGGTCTTCATGCTTGTGCGGCAAGCGCTCTGCCTGCTGGGCCACCGCCCCAGTTCTGCGTCTATTTTTATGCATCTCTCAGGATAATCACACTCAAGAGCAGCTGTCATTGATCAATGGCAATCAATGTTGTCAGATACCTTAGACAAGAAAATGTCAGGCTTGACTGCTTTTCCTTATTTATGAAACGTGTTCCTTATAGAACTGGAAAAGCCTCCGAGCTGGGATTGGCCCTGTGTCCCTTTGGCTTGTCTCAGGATTCCCAGCACTTAACATTTTGCCTGGAAGATGGAATTGCCAAGAAACATTGGCCAAGAACTGCCAAGGAGATGCATAAGCAGGTGAAATCACCGGCAACTTAGTCAACAATGACAGTCGAATGGCTGCAAACCATGATCTTTCCACTGGGCTGCCCAAAAGTTGCCCCATGGGGGAAAGACAGACTTGGGCCTTTGTGTTCAGCCATTCTATAGCCTGGAGGATTCTGGGAGCAGATACTTGATAGAAGGGGTTATTGAGCTGACGCTCCCATGGGAATAGACCTGGGGGGAGAGGAGGTCAACTTGATGCAATCCTTCATTTCCAGCATCCCCTACAGAGCACTATTCGGATGCTCAGTTGATGCTGGGTGAATGAATGAATGCCATCCATTCTGGATCCTCCACAGCAGCCACCCTAGCAGATGACGTGAGAGATCCCAGAGCTGGGGAGTGATATCCCCAAGCCTCCAAATGACACTGGACAGCTGTGACGTGCTGCACACTACTGACACACTAAGTTCCACCTTATTCATACAGACTTAAGGTCAGAATGCACAGCGCCTGAGGCTAAGGGGGAAAGGGCAGGATGCACGGTTATGCAGCCTGGGTTTCTAGGGTGCTTTGCAGTTTCCAGTGGCCATGCACCTGCCAGGCAGGTCCCGCTGCTTCCATTTTATACATCTGAGGAAATGAAGGCTCAGAGAGAGGGGACGACATGGTTTACAGTCATTCAGGACCTCCCTGGAAACACCTGTGTTGTGTCTTTTTGGTTTTTGTTTTTTGTTTGTTTGTTTTGTTTTTCGAGACAGAGTTTCTCTGTAGCTTTGGAGCCTGTCCTGGAACCAGCTTTTGTAGACCAGGCTGGTCTTGAACTCACAGAGATCCGCCTGCCTTTGCCTCCCGAGTATTGGGATTAAAGGCGTGCGCCACCACTGCCCAGCGATGTTGTGTCTTTTATGCCCTCCTTGTGGCTCATCTTGGAGCTAAGAGTCCTGCTCCTCCCTCTGCCTTAGCCTTCTCCTTCTCTCCTTAACTCACCTGGTCCCAGGTATCCAGGAGCATGACATCATCAGTAGCCAGGTCTTCCTGCATAAGCTCGCCGGGAACCTCTTCGATCTGGGAAGGGTCAGAGGAGGTCAAGCAAGAAGCATCAGCTCCCATTGGTCCCCAGGATGAGTGCACAGAGCCGGTCCTGCCTTCAGGGACCCTTCCCCTGCCACTGGGCCAGGCTGTGTCTCTAGGCTGTAAGGTTCATTGGCCCCCAAACCCACCTAAATCCCTAGGCACAAGCAAAGGTGTCACCGCCAGACTCACCACAAAGCGTCCGATCCTGTTGGAGCAGGCAAAGAGGCGAGGAGGATGGGCATCCATCTTCTTGTCCTTCAGCCTTGGGGATGTACGGTAGACAGTCTTCCCACCCAGAGCCTCCCAGAAGCCATCTAGGAAGGGAGACGGTGTCAGTTGCCAAGGGAAACCATGGCCCCATGAGCACATCTCACCAGACCCCAGACCAAGCTGTGCCCACACTCAACTGGCTGCTCTCCACTTTAAGATCCCAGGGGCTCAAGATAGAAGGGAACGGAAAGGCCTGGAGAGGGTAAGCTGGCATGAGACACATGACAGAGACAAAGCACCACAGGACGGGGCTAATTGTCTCCCTAGAGATAGCGATTCACCTAATTCACAAAGCCTGGGAGTGACAAAGCCAGGAGGCAAACCTTTTCTAAGTCCAGTCCCCATGTTCTTTCTACAATACCTGTTCTGTCCGAGTGTTCTGTTTGTGTGTGGCCATTGCTATAGAAACGTATCACAATTAAACAGTTACACCTGCCTCATGTCCACTCATTCCCACCGGTCACATTTCAAATACTCAAAAGCCACAGGGACCACCAGCCACCAAACTGGGGCTGGGAAAGAAGAACATCTATCCTAACAGTGGTTTCTGCCAGGCAGATGCAGACCAAGCAACCCTTCACTGCTTCCATGAGGTACCAAGAAGGAGGGGATGGGTTCTTAGTATCAAAGACGACAAATGCCCTTCTCTCTGTAGCTCTAAAGGTAAGGAGAACCCCTCTGACACTGTCACCCCTTGTCACCATCTCCCCCTGTACATCATCCTCTTGTACCATCCATGCCAAGTTCTCTCTCTCCTTCGGCGTCTGGAGACAACCCTGTCACTGGCCGCCAGGCTCATTTCATTCTCCGACTCCCATTTAACACCCACGAGGGTGGAGGCACCAGAGAAGGATGCAGATGGAAGAGGTGGGGCCCTGGCTCCCACCTGGCTCACTGCCTTCATCCACCTGCACAGGCTGGGCTCGCAGCACCCTCAGCAGCTCCTGGGCCCCGGTCTTCTCTGCCTCGCTGGCTCCTGCACCCACCCACAGGTAGGCAGCTGATGGGGTTTTCAGCACGAAGGCATCATTGGAATTCAGAGCGCCAGCCTTAGGCATCACCTGGAGGTGGGTGGGGCACACAGCACTCACTCAGGAGCAAGGACGCAACCCAGCCTGTCCTGACAACCCAGGGACCCTGCAGCAAGTGGACCTCCTCCCTCACAGACGGACAGCACACAGTCTTTGGACACTGAGGGGTCAGGCTAACTCCCACACTCTCAGACACGCTGTGACGAGTGAGAATGATCTGCAATTGGGGGCTACATTAACAAACGTTGAATGTTCAAAACAAAGGAAGTACTAGAGCAATTCTCCACAGTGCCAAGACCTTAGTGGTCTACTACAGTGGAACCAGACATGCAGTTAAGGCTGCGCGGAATGAATTCTGGAGAAGGTGGCCAGCTTCCTAAGACAGAAGTCTGATGGGGTGAGGGGCTGCTGGGGCAAAGTGCCCTGAAAATCTGCTTCCTCATCCCACCCAGGCCTGCTCAACCCGTCAGGAGGGCAATCTTGCCCATGTTCCGGGACCTGACCTTACCTCAACGGCCCTGGTGGCTCCAGAGCTGCTGGCTCGGACTTGGAAGAGACGGGTACTGGCAGGGGTTGTCTGCCCCCCGTCTCGGGAGGTGCCGCCCTTATAGATGATCATGGGTTTCCCGCCAAACAAGCTCATGAGGTGTGCAGGCTCCTTGCCTTGGACCACTCGACTCTGGCAGTGAGAGAGGAGGAAATCAGCTTTGCTTTTTTATAGTTTTTTAAAAAAAAATTTATGTATGAGTGTTGTGCCTGCATGTATATCTGTGTGAGGGTGTCAGATCCCCTGGAACTGGGGTTACAAACAGTTGTGAGCTGCCTTGTGGGTGCTGAGAATTGACCCTAGGTCCTCTGGAATAGCAATCAGTGCTCTTAACCACTGAGCCATCTCTCCAGCCCCTCGCCGTCCCCCAACAGCTCTTCTCTGTGATTCTGGACCGTCCCCTTCAGAAAGGCTACCACATCTGGCTATGGAAGGGAGAACCACGACCTGGCAGCACCAGAGCACTGAGTAGGGCGAGCTGGGGATGATGTCACTGCCAAAGTCCCTGGTTGCTGCTGTCTTGGCTGTTTTCCCACCCACTGTCTCTGTGAAGCCTTGCCCAGCATCCCCTGAGTCTGCTCCAAGAACCAAGGGACTCCAAGTTTGCAAATATGACCTTAAAAGGGAGGACAGATTGCTTATGTGCATTCTTCCAGAATGCTGATGTCAGTCCTAGACAAGTCAGGGGGTGGAGGGATGCAAAGAGCCCTCAGATCTGGAGGCTCTGCTGCACCCCACACAGCCCCAACAACCACCATCTTCTTACTTAGAACTAAAGCAGCACATGGGTTTCCTTGTCCTAAATGTGCCCTACAGGAACCAACTGTGGCATTCCTGCTGCACAGCCAAGGGAGGGTATGGAGACACTGCCCAGTAAATACAGTGTCTATATACTGGATGCCGTCACTAAACCCGGTACAGAGAAAACCCTGCATAAATATCTGTTGCATGGGTAGGTGAGCAGACAGATGGATGGCTGGGTGGGTAAGTGGATGTATGGGTGGGTGAGTGAATGGACCAAAGGACGGATGGATGGACAGGTGGGTGGGTGGATGGATGGATGGACAGACACATGGGCAGATGGATAGATGGATAGATGGACAGACGGATGGATGGTGAGTGGGTGGATGGGTAGGTAGGTGTGTGCATGGGTAGATGGATGGACAGATGGACGGATGGATGGATGAATGGATGAATGGATGGATTGCCAGATGGACGAACGGACAGATGGATGGATGGTGAGTGGGTGGGTGGGTAGGTAGGTGTGTGCATGGGTAGATGGATGGACAAATGGATGGATGAATGAATAAATGGATGGATGGACAGACGGACAGATGGATGGTGAGTGGGTGGATGGGTAGGTAGGTATGTGCATGGGTAGATGGATGGACAGATGGATGGATGAATGGATGGGTGGATGGACGGATGGATGGACGGACGGACAGCTGGACGGATGGATGATGGTGAGTGGGCAGATGCCTGGATGAGGGCATGAATCCTTAGGAAGATAAATGAGCAGACAGACCAAGCCCTGGCTGGAGCCCTAAGAGGCACTGTTCTGACTCACCTGGACAGGAGTTCCTCCCAGCTCCTCATCCAGCTGGGCAGTCAGGATGGCGGACGCAGCGACCTCATCCTGGGTAGACTGGGCGCCCTGCCTAGGAGAGGGAGAGAGACTCAGCACTAGTTTACATAGAGCCCTGGACCTCTTTCCTGCCCCAAGCTCCAGTAACCCATGAGCCTCTTTGTTGTAGAGATGGAGCAGTGGGGAGAACCAGCAACAACAGTCTCCCCACCCTGCCCACCCCGGCTCAGCAGACTGTCTTCTTACTTAGTATCATAGGTCCTACTGCGATAGGTAGACTTCCTTGTCCTAAATGTGCCTGCAGGAATCTCCCTGGGCTCCCCTGATAGACAGCCATGAGAGGGTACTGAGACTCAACAGCAAAATATGTACAAAAGTGATCATGGCATCTCCCTGTATGCAAGACGGGCTGGAAGCAGCAGGTGTGAGCTGTGTCATCGGTAGGGAAAGACACCAGACATGGCCTCATGGGGACACCCTGAGAGGGGAGCGTTACAGAGACTCACGGTCCCTGCCTCCACTTGCCAAGGCTGGACCTTGTACCAGGCATACACTGTAAGTCAAAAGCCTTCTTAAGAATTTTGTGTCAACCGGGCATGGTGGTGTACGCCTTTAATTCCAGTGCTAAGGAGGCAGAGGTAGGCGGATCTCTGAGCTGGAGTCCAACCTGTTCTACAGAGTGAGTTCCAGGTAGCCACGGCTTCATAAAGAAACACTGTCTCAAAAAAATCTGTATCATATGTTGAGATTAGTGGTGCAGGCCTGGAGTCTCAGCTACTTGAGAGGGTGAGGCTGGAGGATTGCAAGTTCAAGGCCAGCGTGAGCAAATTAGTGAGACTCTGCCTCAAATAAAAGGCAAGAAGGGTGCTAGACTTACAGATCAGTGGTAGTGGCTTGCCTAGTATGTCCAAGAATCTGGGCTCAACCCCCATGACGCCCCATGTCTCCCCATCATAATTTGTATTATCTAGTTTATAAGTGCAGCTGCTTTAGAAGTATGGAGCTTTCGAACTGAGTCTGGGTGCATGATTCCTGAGCATCACTCTTCAGGGGTTTATGGTCATGAAGGAAAATGGCAGATCCCAGGGGACTGAAGGGACACAAGAAAGAAATGCCCTGTGGGGTCCTAGAGACGTCCCATGGGGTCTTGTGTTAGGGCCTGGGCCAGAAGACACAGAAGCGGGAGAGCTGGGGACACAGGAGCAAACACAGAAGTGCGGAGCCCTGCGTCTGCCTGGTCCAGGGGCTAGGGCTGTGAAGGGACGCAGGTCGGGCAGTGCGTATGTGAGGACTGGCCAGATAGCTGTAATTGGGTTTCTATTTTTGCAACTTTTTGGCGGGTCTAAGATTGTTTCAAAATAAAAGTTTTAGCAAAGAAGAAATTTAACAACTATTAGATAAAAATATGAAACTGTCTAGTAATAGGGACACCATTTCACCGTTTTCTTTTTCTTTCTTCTAATTCTTTGTTTGTTTGTTTGTTTGTTGAGACAGGGTTTCACTGTTTATCCTGGCTGTCCTGGAGCCCCTGCCTCTGCCTTCTGTGTGATGGCATTAAAAGTATGCACCACCGTTTTCCTTATTTCCTCAATGCTAAGGGAGTGACCCAGAGATACCTACATCCACAAAAGACCCAGAGATACCTACATCCACAAAAGTACTGACACTGAGCCACAACACCAACCCACAGGCAAATTTAGAGTCTAATTAGATACCACTTTATAAACTATCAGCTTGATCAACATCCATACAGTCCACTGAAATGGAGCCGCAGATGCAGGGACTCTTGCATGCAGCTGGCAGGAATCCAGACAGAAATTTGGAAGGCTCCAAGCATTAGCTAGGGACCAGAGCTATCTATCAGAATGACAGGTCCATTCTGATTCTGCCAGTCCATTTCTGGGAACTCACCACAGGGAGACTTCTCTAAACATCCGACGGTTTGCTAACAGTTACTAATCTCGGTGATACTGATGAGAGCAATAGACTAGTACCCAAGAGTGCATGGGTGTGGGGAGCTTGTTGACAAATGGTGGTATAGCAACCCAAAGGCCTGGCAAGGTTGTCAGACAGACACACCTACATCAGGAAGCTGTCAGTTTCCAGGAAGGCTGCAGCCAAAAGGCAAGCCACAGGCCAACACCCCTAGCATTGTTTACCTTACATATCCTTCCAGTAATCATGCAAAAAGGGTAAATAAAAACTGCCAAACTGGTCAACAGGAAAGGATGGGGCTTGGCGGATGAGTCAGCAGGGGTACAGGTGAGACAAAATATTTAGAATGACAACTTTGAACTCGGCTCTGGGTTTGGAGCAATGTGATTATATGCTCTGTTTTAAAATAACTGTTGTAATTGACATACATACTAATACTACGTATTTACGTAGCACAGAATCATCTACAACTATTACAATGGAAGCCAGCCTCCGGAGGGTAAACTGGTGTTAGGGCTCGGCACTGGCTGGCAGGAGCTGCTGGGTTGGGGTGTCTCTGTCCCTAAGATGGCATGTCATATCCTGATGGCAAGAAGTTTAGAGTTGTGGGTGAGAAGGGGTCCCTGCCGGGTGTGGCTGTCTCAGCTCAGGCCTCTATATCAAGACGCCCTCAGTTCATCTCGCTCTTTTCCTCTTGCCACCATAGTCAGGCACAGTCAGGTCCCCATGTGCTCCCGCGAACACCAAGCAGACAGCCCAGGCCCCTCACCAGTTGTAGATGATCTGTCCCTGGCGGCCACCGTGGCGATAGTTGTATAGAATGATGTAGCTGTCACCTCCATAGAACTGCCCGTATGTGGCAGGGTCCACTGGTACCTTGTTGGAGCCTTCGATTCTCCAGATCTGCAGGAGTGAAGTTGGGGTCAGACGCTGTCACCTCGGGCTAGCTGGAGACCCCAGCATAGCGGACAGTGTAGGTAACAGGACACCACTCAGGTCCAAGCAAAGTTGAACAATTTACCCCACTCACAGGGCTCGTGAGAGGCGAGGCAGGGCTATGACCCCAGGGTTCCTGCCCCAGCTCTTCTCACTTCCCCCTGAAAGGCCCCTCAAGATAGCTCTAAATCAGAAGGCTGAGCCAGGCCTGAGTCAGACCGAAGCCCCACCCTTTGAGAGGTGCCTCTCAGGGTGGGAGTTTTCTCACCTGAAACAGTTAAGGGGAAGTCCTCCAAGCCTAAACTCTAGTCATGCTGATGACATGATGCCCCGTGCCAGCACTAGCCGCTAGCAACGGGATTGTTATTTCATCCCCAGCATTTCCATTCTCCCCATTGTTACGGAAACACTAGGATTTTAGGGGTCATCTCACTCAACAGGGCCATAGTTGGTTGGCCTCGGAATGACCCCTGCAGGTGGATCTCTGCAGAGATCAGGTGACAGGACTTGAGTCATCGGGAGGCCCTGCAGTGACACCTGGTGGTCAAGTGGAGACACTGACCAAGCCCATTTTACATTGAGAAAGTGAGGCTCAGAGAGGTTGAGTGAGTGGCCCCAGGAGACTCAGGCTCAACTCTCTGTCTACTAACTACTTCCGCTGCCTCTGCCTCACACTCTGCAGTAACGAAAGTGAGCATCCACGACAGTCATGATGTCATGCAAACACGACCCCGTAGTATCCTCTGAGGAAGACAGTGGACACCAGTCTGAAACGGACTCTGGGTCCGCAGCATCTCTGAATACACCCCACCTGTACTAGTCCCAAGTGCCACATTGTTTCTTCCCTAAACCATCACAGATGTCCCGGCTTCATGCTTCTGCCTCCTACCTATTTTTACGGCGTGTTTCTAAAGCACAGAACCAAATCTGTCATACATCTACTAAAAACAAAATAAAACTGAAAATACTGTATTACCGCCACACCCCATGAATGGCATCCATGGCCCCTCCTGAGGATGGCATCAGCACCATACTGGGAGAAGTCACACCTGGAATGTGCCCCTACACCCCAGCAACAAGCCCACCCCAGCCACCTCATTCCCACTTCCCTTCCTGCATTCCCACAAAATCCCCTGGGCTTCCTTTCAACTCTGGGAACAACAGATTTCGAGATTCTGCTGTGGCCATGGTCACCTCCCCTCCCACCCAGGCACTCCTAGGGAAAAGAATGGGGCCGGGAGCCCGGCAGAGACCGGCACATAGTAGGTACTCAGGCGATATTTGTTGCCAACAAACAAACAAAAGTTAAACAAAAGAATCTCCTCCACAGTGACTGTGGTGGAAAACAAGAAAGAAACCTCCTCAGGGAGGCAGGGGGTGGGGACAGGAGCCACGGGGGCCTGGGAGGGAGGGGACAGAAAGGGAAGCAGCCAGCAAAAGGTGGCTCAGGTACAGCAAGCCTGCTCCTGCCTGGGCCAGCAGCTACTAAAGCCGGATGTCTAGGTCTCCGTTTGGTTTAGGTCTCCCTTACTCTGAATTACTTGCTCAGCTCTGTTTACTCCCTCACGGGGCGTCTTGCTGACCTATCTGAGCTGCCTTCCAGGCTGAAGGCGGAATCTGCAGTCACTGCAAGAGCAGCTTTCTCACCCTGCCCAGATATGCGGACCTCCTCAGACCTCCTTGCGAATCAGATCTGAGGTGTTAACTAGGCCACGCTCTGCCCAGGACTGCTATTACACCTCCAGCCCCTTCTCTCCTTCTGTTTAAACCTGAAGCCCATGTCCAGGCTGTGAAGTTGGACTTGGGGGCCACGGGCCCCCTTTCTTGTTCTCCCCAGTGTGGCTACATTGATAAAATCGCCCCCATTTGCCCTTTGCCATTCTTTGCCTGGTTAATGGGGCAGGTGACTGAACCTGGCCTGTGGAATCTGCTCTAAACCTGAGGCTCCATTACCTGCTTCTGGCCAGTGCCGTCATCGTCCATGCCATGCTGTGCGGCCATGGCGGTGGAGGTGTGCAGTGTTGCAGCATCGAAAGGCACCCGCTCCACGTTAGCAATGTGGCTGGAGAGGTAGGCCAGGCCGGGACCATCTGTCTGATCTGGGTCCCGCCAGTTCTTAAAGAACTGCTTGAACAGTGGGGTCTCTCCACCCTCTGGGAGAACGGAAACCTGAAGAGAGAGAAGGAGAAGAACATGGCAAGGCTGCCTAGCAAGGGCATTAGGGAGCCTCGGGTGCCCATCCAGTCCCCAAGGAGGATGGCGGACTCCTCCCTCCCTTACCCCCATGAAATCTGTCTCTCCCTGGCCTCAGACCCTTACCTGGGTCTGTCTGGGATACTCCATCTTGGTGATGAAGTCAGAGGCTGTTTTGAGGGCAGCCTTCCGCTCTTCCGTGTTGGCCTGCTTGCCTGCCAGAAGCCAAGGGAAAGATGCCAGGTCACAGCTGTGCTGGTCTGAATACAAATGACCCCCACTGGTTCATAGAGAGTGGCGCTATTAGGAGGTGTGGCCTTGTTGGAGGAAGTGTGTCACTGGGAGTGGGCTTTGGGGTTTCAGATGCTCAAGCCAGGCCCGGTGTCACTCTCTCTTCTGCTGCCTGCTGATCAGGATGTAGAACTCTCAGCTACTTCTCCAGCACCATGTCAGCCTGCATGCCACCATGCTTCCTGCCATGGTGATAATGGACTAAACCTCTGAACTGTAAGCCAGCTCCAATTAATTGTTTCCTTAAAATAGTTGTTGTGAGTCAGGCGGTGGTGGCGCACGCCTTTAATCCCAGCAGAGGAGGCAGAGGCAGGTGGATCTCTGTGAGTTCAAGGCCAGCCTGGTCTACAAGAGCTAGTTCCAAAACAGGCCCCAAAGTTTCAGAGAAACCCTGTCTCGGAAAAAAAAAAAAAGAAAAAAAAAGTTGCTGTGATCATGGTGTCTCTTCACAGCAATAGAAATCCTTACTAAGACAGCACTCAGAGGTCCCAGGAGAGGGCAGCCAGCCCACATCCCTACTCTCCTTAAACTTAGACCATAGGTAGCCAGGGAGCACCACCCTAAACTGGGGGATTCTAGTTACAAGAGACGCCCCCTCTGGGGTCCTGGCCAATAACAGCAACCATGCTAACCACTGCGGCTCATTTACTGAACACAGATTTGGTGCCATAGCCACACACAGATTATTTCATTTAATTCATATTACAGCCTTAAATCTGGGAGGTCATGGCTGTCTGTTCCCTCTCATATATAAGGAAGCGGGTATCTCAGAGAGGTCACAGGAAGCTGATCTGCTGCATCAGTACAAACACCAGGCTGCACACCCTACGCAGATGTCCCCTTCCGAGGTGACACACTCCTCCTTCTCCATGGCTGGGCCTCTCCTCCAGCCTTGAGAACCTCAGAGTCAGCTGAGGCCCAGATCGTCTGGACAGCCAGCCCAGCACGTTCTTGCTGTCTCCACCCGCTGCCTCCCTCCCGGTTCCCAGCACCAGTCTCAGCGCATCTGAGGAAGCCCTGGGGATGTGTGGGAGAGTGTTTCTCAGATGTCTGTGGGCTCTCAGAAACAACCAGGCCCAAGAGCCTCACAGGAGCAACTCCATCTACAAAGACTTCCCTAGTGCCCCACCCCCTGGGGGACAGCAAGCCATGCAATAACACACAGCTTACTCCATCCAGAATGCTGGCCTGCAGGAGTCTGGGACCTACAGAGCTACATTTAATAAAGATACACAAATGTTCTATAGTGTCAATTAACTTCCCAGAGAAGTGACCTTGTCAGTCACTTGGCAAACATTCATTTGAGCCCAAACAAGGCCTCAGACTCAGCAAGGGGCGAGGACTCTACAGTAAGCCAACTGCAAAGCTAGGCATTAGCTGAGTTAGCATCCTGATCGTTTCTTATTGTGACACTGTTCTCGCTGGGGCTGAGACCCTGGAACCTAGGCGCCTGCCCGTACCTTTCCAGACAAAGATTTTCCCATCTCGGCCATGGTCCAGGATGAAGCAGTCCTCAGTTCTCAAGGCGCCCTGAGCGAATGGGTTCTCATCGGCCACGAGGGAGACTGACATGCTGCCTGCACCGTTGGAGACCTGCGGGAATGGAAGGGCCAGGTGAGCACCTAGAGGGGCAGATCAAGGTCCAGGCCCCTCCAGCCCTGCAGCACAGCCAAGCAGGTGACCCAGCGTGTGACAAGGACGCTGCACCTGGAAAGGAAGGTGGGTAAACAGAGCAGAGGGAGGGTCTTGGGGCTGGGCATGGAGCTCTGCTTGTCTAGTATGAACAAGGCCTGGGGTTCTCGTCCACATAAGCCCGGTGTGGTGGTGCACTCCTACAATCTAGAATTCGGGAGGAGGAGGCATTCAAGGTCATCCTCACTGCGTAGTGAGTTCAAGGCCAGCTGGGATACTGAGACCTCATCTCAGTAAAAGGTGTAGAGCCTCTGAGAAGTGGTAAAGAGTTTGCTGGGAAGCTTGGAAACCATGAGTATTGAGAAGGAAATGACAAGGGCCAAACACGATGTGCCACCAGGACTGGGCTTGGAACGAGCTTGGAGAAGCAGAATAACGTCTCTAATTGATTGGTAGCATTGGCCCTCTCTCAATGGCTTAGCTGGAAAGTCTGCCTGCTTACACTAGGGCTAAGAAGCCAGAGAAGGGGATACGGGCTCTCTCCTCGGTATTCCTGTAAACCTAAGAACCCTAATAGAAAGAGTTCATTCGACTTAAAACCAAGATATCCACCAGCCAAATTCCACAAGACTGGCTCAGAGTAAGCAGAGACTCCTGAGTCCCCAGAGAGGAAGATTTGGGAGCTGGGGACTGCCACATAGCAAAGCCCATGAGCTCATCCTGGATTCTAAAATGGCAGGGAAGGGGCCAAGACTGGCACCAGCCTGATCTGTGCACAAGCCAAGGCCTGGACTGGACCCCAGCACTGAAAAGTGTACCCAAAGACACACAAGGAAGACATTATCAGAAATGTTAGCCATAACCGTCACCTTCACCCCAGTTCTAAGATACTTTCTCATCACCTCCTCCGGCCCAGACTCCCAGAAATCCTACAGGATTCTGCAAAGATCAAGGTTAGCCTGGGTTATACAGTAAAATAAGATCCTGTCAAACAAATACAAAACCAAAAATCCCAAACTCAGTCCAAAACAACATCAAAAGTTTGTCTCTTTCTGCAAGGAGGGGTGGGGAGCCAAGTAATACGTGACCAGCATCCGAGCCCTAGGACGTTGGTCCCCCACCCAGGGCAGCTGTGGGGGGTGGTGCCTCCTCCCGCCCCCCCCCCCCCCCCCCCTGCCCGCCTGATCCGATTTGGTGTGGGAAACAGTACCCCTGGGGCTCACCTTGTAGAGCTTAGCCAGTTTCCGGTTGGCTGCGTCCTCTTTTGCTGTGTCCTCAGTACCTGCAGGCAGGTCTGGCTTGGGACCCAGCACCTGGAGAAGGGGTGGAGGGGTGGAGGGGTGGAGGGGTGGAGGGGTGGCCATGAGCACGGAGGCTTCTGAGAGAGCTCCCCAGCAGGCCAGCCTACGAGGACAGAGCCTGCCTGGCCCTGACATCCAGAACCGATCCCTTTGGAGAAGAAGGTTCCATGACCTGCCTGTCAATGCCCTTTCCTCTTGGTGCCCCGCCTCCAGACTAGCCCTTCCCTCAGTCCTTCTAGCCAGGACAGGAGGGGCTCTCCTTCACCTCTCTCCATTCACAGCATGGGGCGCTGAGAACTGGAGAGACTGGCTCAGTGGCTCCACAGCTTCCAGGAGGTCGTCAGAACAGGCACCTCAGCTGACATGGCTTCAAGCTTGTTTGCTCTGTTCATTAACAGACCTTCACATCCCGGCTCCTGTCCCTGATGTCTGTTCCATTAACAGACCTTAACATCCCGGCTACTGAAAACATCCTCAGAATTGTAACATCCCCAGAAAATCCTTCTGCTCCTTACAAAAATCAGAACTGGATGCCCCAGCAAGTGGGAGCATACAGCGGCACACGGCAGACATTTCCCCTTCCGTTTTCCGGGGAAGCTCGCCTCCATTGGTAGATTCTCAAAACATGGTAACCGACAGCCCCATCGCACTGCTAACCAAATGAGCCATAAATAAATAGGAATGTCGGAAGAGGACGCTGACGGCTGGGTCACAATAGTTTCAGGTAGTCCTCAAGAAATGTTGGGAGGCCTCTTTGCTAACCGGCTCCTTTGGAAGGCTCGGTCCTCCTCCCTGGAGGGTGGACATGCACTCCCAGCATACACCACACCCTGAGATTTCAGCTTAGTTCTCAGGGAAGTTACAGTTGTAGGAAGCTATCTTCCTACCTGCTAAATGTTCAGGCCAGGTAGAAAATCAAAAATAGTCTTCAGGGGCAGGAAGGGATCTGACAAATAACTCTTTATAAAGAAGGTAGAAGTAGACTCCTCCCACCCCATCCCCATTAGCCCCTCCCACATCCCCATAGACACCTGGAGCATCGCTTCTGGCTCTGCACCCTCTTCAGACACGTGTACTTGGGCACGGCCACTCCTCTCATTGTCCCGGATGCCCTTGGACACCTGTGTGGCCTTCAGCCTTTCAAATCTGTTGCTGTTGGTGCCGCACCACTGATAGATGTTCTGTAAGACAGAGACCCCAGGACGTCAGAGTCCAGCCTTTGCACAAGCCTGCCTGAACGGATGGCAGTGTGCACACTGTGGCTGTGTACAAGCTCCCCTTGGCCCGCGCTGGTCCAGATGAGGGCCAGCACAGCACACACACGGGTCACCCAAGGGCAAGGATACTGACATGCACAACAGCCTCAAGATCGCTGGCTGCTATGGACTGCCTATAACTTGTTCCTCTGAAGTTTACGTTAAAGTCTGATGGTCATTGTGGCTCTATTGGGATTAATGTTTTTCATTTAGGTTCAGTCTTTCCTGCTACAATGCAGGTCACCGCTGTCTCTCTGCTTTGCACAGGGCCATTTGCCTGTCTACATCAGCCATTCTGTAAAGAACCCCATCACACCCCACCGGGTGAGCCTAAGTCTACTTTTACTTAAGCTATGCAATCTCCAAGCATCTGTTATAGAGTCCCCTGCTGGTGGGAAGCGAAACTGCAAGCACTGATGGTCTATAGCTCCCACAGTGTCCCTGGCCTTCACCCCATCTGTGTGCTAGTGAGTTTTCCTGTCACCTTGACACAACCTAGCGTCACCTGGGAAGAAGGAGCCTCAGCTGAGAAGTGCTACAATCAGACTGGGCTGTGGCCATGTCAGTGAATGATTGTTGTGATTGATGGGGAGGACCCCACCCACTGTGGGCAGCAGCTTCCCTAGGCAGGTGAGATGCAGCGATTCTCCAGAGTCCCAGACCTGGTTCCCTCAGTGATGGACTATACATGGAAGTATAAGCTGAAACAAACCCCTCCCACCTCTCGGTTGCTGCTGGGCGTGGTGGTGCTGAACACAGCAACAAAAGCAAACTACAACACCTTGGGAGCCAATAGTACCACCCTAAGCCACACCCACACCAGAACTGCAGGTATATGCCCGAAAATATCTGTGCTAGAGTGTTCGGAGCAGCCCAAACCAGAACCGACCGGGCACCCACGACAACAAGCATGCAGCAGCTGATTACCTATGGAGTCGACTCTTACAAAGCAAGGAGCGCCTGAGCTACACCCAAAGGCAGCACCAGCAAGGAGTCTCAGAAAGGCAAGGTTTAAAAGAAGACTTCACCAAAAGAGGACGGTCTCCTGCACATAATTTCAGAAATGTGCAAAGCGAGTCTATCCTGTTGAGAGAGTTCCAAAGGAGGGGCTGCCTTCAGGGGTAACGGGGCTGAGAGGGAACAACTAAGGTAGCTGCAGTGTTGTATTTCCTGGTCTCCAGTTAGACAGGAGCTTGACAGGTATGTTCACTGGGTGAATTCGACAGAACAGCAGTCGGGATTAGAACACACCACGCCATTTGACTTCTACAAAAGAAACTATACTGAGGCTCGAGAGGCGGCTCAGCAGTTAAAATCGCTGGCTGCTCTTGCAGAGGACCTGGGCTTGACACCAGCACCCCAGGGCGGCTCACAGCCACCTGTGACTCCAGCCCCACAGTCCCCAACTCCCTTTTTAGGCCCTGTAAACACCAGGCATGCACACACACAGTACGCAGACATACATGAAGACAAAACACCCTCACACATAAAATAATTTTAAGGCTTTTTTAAAAAAAAAAGCCTATGCTAAGTCAAGATAGGGCATTATGGCACAGGTACACATGCACAGAAGTTTTGGGGTGCAAAGTCTGGCTATGAGCATTTGCAAATTTGTGCTCATGTGGAGCTATGAGGCAAGTATTAGGGAGCACCCCCATTGACCTGTAAGTAAGCCTGGGGATATGTACCACACACATCGCCACATACCAGGTACATATGCAACCAATGATGTCATACACTGTGGGTCCAAGCCTACATGTCCGGGCACTCACTTCAGCGCTAGTGTCCACAGCAGACAAGAGCCTGCAGGTTTTGCCCACAAATGCCATGGGCTTAGAAATGAGCGTCTGTATTTAATAGGAATGTGGCTGTGCGTGTCAAGGGATATCAGGGAGTCTGCGCATCAACAACCTTGTGCAAATGATGAGGACCCGAGATCCATGCATCCATCATGGCACATCTGGGTCCACGGGTGGGAATCTCAGTCCCTGTGGTCTGTCCCCGTTCACGAGTGCTCCCCTCCCCAGATGATCACAGTTGCCCTGGAAAGGGGCAGGCCAGACTCACATTTCCCAGGTCCAGAATGAAGCAGTCACCATTGTTGAAGCTGTCCCAGGACACAGGCACCTCGGTGGCACGGACTACACGGCGACCTTTGACCTGGAAGAGCCTCTGCACCACCACCTCATTGGGTACCACATGCTTGAATCCAGATGCCACGCCTCCTTTCTGTCAGGTCAAGGAACAGTGTTAGTCCAGGGGAGAAGGTCCAGTGAAGTAGACAGGGAAGGGGCACAGGACTCAGGGGAGGGGCATTCTGTCCAGTGAGTGCTCAGCTAACTCAAGACTATCACTGATACTGTGTCTGATACTGAGACATTCTTTTCTGGGGTTCAGAAAATGAATGACCTTTACCCAAGAGCACACAACTAAGGAGGAGCGTTAGGTTCCCTGCACACTACATCCCACTGAATCTTATACTTCCCCCAAAAGATCCCTGGAGCTACTTCCCGGATTCAAAGGGCTGCAAACACTCCTCTTTCTAAACCAGCATCCCCAAGGGACCCTGCGGCAACCTATTCACGATCTTCTTCAAGGAAAGGGAGCCAGGATCCAAGTGTAGGGGATGTTCCTTACTCACTGACGCTGCCTGCTGCACAATGCAGAGGAGCACAGCAAAGGCCCCTAGGCTGAGCATCCTGCCTGCCTTCTGCTCCACACAGCCCCGCCCCCCACTTTGCCCCGCCTCACTGTGTTTGAGCACCTGTCTGAAAAGCACACACTGCTAAGTGCTAGCCCACCCATCTCCGTCCTCCGCACCATCCCAGGCTCTCTGAAGGTCCTCCTGGACTTCCCCAGCCAGCATCATCCTTCTCCTCCCTCCTGTGGGCCTTCCGAGGTAGGCAGCGGGGGAAGGGGCAGCCCTTTCCCTCTCTCCGCCTCAGGCCTCTCCTCCACCCTTCAGCCACCACCAAATCCTGGAGGAGCCCATTCTTGGGCTTCCCTGCCACAGTTGTCACAGGCCCTTGATTCGGCAGGAAGCCAAAGGAAGCTGGCTGGGACTTCTCCGGTTCCAGGTACTCACCAGCCTTCAGCCTTACACTCATTTTGCCCAGCCTAAGCCAAAGCCCAGGGAAGTGAGGGCACTTTCTCAGGCATGCTCAGCAAGTCTGTGGTACAGTCAAGGCTTCCCACCAGCTATAGAACTTCTTCCCATTCCACACACCATAGGGGTGGGAGCTCAGGGGCTTCTCTAGGCCCTCAGACCGCCCCAGCCAGGACCTGGCTGCCTACCTCCTTGCAATGTTAAGTCTGACACTGGCCTTACAAGCTTGATGAAGGGGAGGAGGGAAGGGCCAGGAACCAGGTACCTGTTATGCACAGTGACAGTGAGTGTGATGGACGTGTTTGTCACGTGACCACACCCACTATGCCACATATTCCACACATATCTCACAGGTGAGGAGGGCAGAGCCTACACCTGAAGAGACTTGCCCAAACTCTTGCAGTGGGATGGCTAGCGGAGCCGTGATCAAAACTCAGTGTGTCTGAATCTACAAAGCCATGTTCTCCTTAGAGTCCCAAGGGTCACTCATCTAGTACAAACTGGTTCCCGTTGCTGGGGCTGGAGCGCCCTCTGGTGGCCATTCTTGATATAGACGTAAGACCTATTCAGTTTTGCAAGTCTAAGTCAAAACGTTCAATTCTGACTGAGTTACCCTAACACCCTCAAGAGCACTTCTGGCATAGCTGTGGGTGCCACTAGGAATGAATGAGCCCAGGGTGGAGCGAGGTCATATCCATAGCTTCCACTCTATTTGGGAGATCCACAAGTCAATAGTAAGCCAGGAACTTTTCCCATCACAGAAAGAATAAATCTAAACTCTGATGGGAGCCCAGCTGGCCATAATGCCTGAGATTCAAGAATGTGATTGGGGGCGAGGGGAAGGCAAGGGCTGAGGCAGGGCAGTCCTAAGAGTCACCGGGGACCGGGGGAGTGGACACCCGATATCACCTTGTGTCCACTACACAGTCACCCACAGGACCCCAGGGCGCCATGACTAAGCAGTAGTAAGGCTGGGCACCCGCTGTCCATGCAGGACTCACAAGTCTCTAAGGTAGGAAAGCCAGTGAAACAATTCTTGGGCACAGGGTAGAGGTAAGGAGAGACCGAGCAGGTGTCCATGCTCCCCTCCAATTGGCTGCACAGCTGGGTTTTAGAAACCAGCCTCATTCCCATCAGCCCTGGGACTCCTGAGAGTCTACGACCCAGGACTTCACTCAGCTGGAAAGCAAGAACGAGGGGGTCTGAGAGGCATCTCCAAATAAGTGGGTGCCAAGAGGGCCTGTTGTACTGGCTCCTCAGACACAAGGGAGCGTGGGGACAGGGGAGACCGCCTGCTTGCTTTGTGCACTCGGAAATATTTTCACTCGTTCAAGCAAGCCTTTCATTCTGCTATTTAAAAAGCAACTCTTTGATTGGGCACACGTCTTTAATCCCAGCAATCAGAAGGCTAAGGCAGGCAGATCTCTTGAGTTCGAGGCCAGCCTGGTCTACAGAGTGAGTTCCAGGACAGCTAGGACTGCATAGAGAAATCCTGTCTCCAGAAACAGAAACAAACAACAATAACAAAACCAAAGCAAACAAAAACTCTTTGAAAGAAAGGAGGGTTGTTTTGTGTCATAAATGTCAGGCATCGGGAATTCTTATTACTTCTCTATTTCTCTCTCCTTTTGCCCTCTCTTCCTCTTCCCCCAACACACACACACACACACACACACACACACACACACACGCTCTAAATAAAGTGAGTTCTCAGAAAACACCAGTGGATGTACAAAGGAGAGAATGGGAACTTTTAGAACTTTTCTATTCCTTTCTCTTTAAGGGACTGATTACTGCTGTCGAATCTAATCTCTGGGTGGGGAGAGATCAGCATCTGTTTCTTCTAACAAATCCCACAGGGCGAGCTGTTTAAAGAGCCACCCTCCGAATTAGGACACGAGGCAGACAGGCCGGTTTGTGGAAAGAACCAAAGCCACCGATCACCATTGGTTTGTGCCTTCAGGGTGAGGCCCCCAGACGGTCCCTCTAAGGGCTGCTCCTTAGTGTTGGCTTGTCTATGTGAAGCTTGCCTTATTCAGCTGGGGGTGGGGGGGAACTAAAGTTTCCATGAAGAAAAAAACCAACAACTAAAACCTTGCTGAGATTGAACCTATCCATCCTCCACTCAATCCTTCCCTAAGACAAGGTGCCAGCAGATGTCTGGATCCAGCTAGCCCATGGTCCAGGCTCCCAGGACTGATAGACCCAGATTCTCTTTGAGCAAAGGACATAAAAAGTCCTTGGAGTGGGGGTCCCCAGGGTAGGGGGTAAAGATGAAAGGGGAGAGCCAGGAGGGTGAGTAATAAGGGATTGGAACCCTTCCCACCCCCACCCAGGACAGTGACAGTAATGGTCAGGGCGACAGAACAGTAACGGCAGCTCTTCCTGGTGGCTCAGTGTCCCCTCTCTGCCCCTTCTCTGATCCAGGACAGAAGTAGCTCCCGGGAGGCTTTCATAGAAACAAGTCTTGTGTAACAAGCCAAGCTTCTCGGCATCTATAATAGATGAGGGCGGGGAGGCTGAGGACCTTGGTCTGGGACTGCCAAGTGCGGGGGTGGCATACGGACCAGGAGGTGTAAACAGGGTCTCACGTGTCCTTCAGGGACAGTTTCTTTCATGGCCGAAGCCACAAATCTGAGCCCTGATTAGGATCTGCCTCTCAAGTGTTCTTCAGAGCATGGTCAAGAACATTCCATAAAATCCCTTTGATATAGGAGAGGCTAGTTAGATATGCAGGGGATGAGCCCCATAGAGCTAAGAGAAAAGGTCAGGGATCTTGGAACACCCACTCTGGACTAGCTCTCGGCGGCACAAGACCCTTCCCACGTGAGTCTGAATCTCACACACACACCACTGCCAGTTGTGCATCCTGGGCAGGGTGCCTCACATCTTCTCCCTCATTTACACAGAGAGGCCAGTCCTAGCGAGCATCTCACAGTATGAGGCAAACTGAGGAAAGGGCAGAGCAAAGTCCATGGCACGTGATGTGAGAGCACTCTGCTAGCTTGTAGACCCCTTCCACAGGACCTCAGCCTTCTCATCTATAAAATGGGATACTTCTACTGTCCTAATGGCAATGGTGAGAATGAAATTGATCCCATAGAAGAACCTCAATATATTGCACCTATGGCTCCAAACCTGGGGCACCCACAGTCTGCACTGCAATGTTCTCTGGCCTGGTAATCTGTCCTTGTGTTCATGGCCACTGCCACATTTATATCTGCTAAGCTTTCCCCCAAGCAACACAGATGGACAACTGTGCTCCCCGTGAGAGCCAGTCACATGAGAGCTGGCCACGTGAGAGCTGACCACATGAGAGCTAACCACGTGAATCCCCTGAACTCCCCCTCTCTTCCTTCCTGCGCTCAGTGGATTGACTTTCTGAAGACTGCCAGTCCTCTAAGTCCTTAGAAAGGAAGCGATCCGCCCCACACCCCTGACACCCAGTGCTCAGCGCAGCGCCTGTGGAATGACGGGGAGCCCTGGCTGGGCTTTCTCCATTTGCTGTCTCCTCCTGGGGAACATTCGAGGCTATAAGATGGTCACACAGGTTCAGTACCACACCCGCGTCGTGACGGTCACAGAGGGTGCTGACACAGTCTGCCTCGCTCTCTCCTTCCTTTTGTTCCCCACTGAGTATTGCTTAGACAAGGCTGTGGATGCACTATCTAGCAGAGGATAACCTTGAATTCCTGATCTTCTGCCCCCTAAATTCTGGGATTACAAGTGTGTGCCACCACAGCCAGCTTGATGCAGGAACTGATCCTGTCTGCTGAGTGAATGGCTAATGGAAAGACTATGCTGGTCTTGCTGCAGCGGGATGTGGCTTCCCACCTCTCCTGACTCACGATTTCAAGGACCCCAAGGATGGGCAGAGGGTGGCAGCGAGAGTTCAGCCACAGCAGCCCAGCAAATGCTGCTGGGTACCTCCCAAGAGAGCCATCCCAGCCCCACCCGCTGAGCTGGTCCAGGACACATCCTCCCTTGATGTCTAAGTGTCACAGGTACTCCTCTGTCTCAGTTCCCGTCCCTCACCTGGGAGTGAGGGAGACACTTCTGCATGGACAAAGAGGACTCTGAGGGTCAGAGAGTGACCACTGGAAACAGTCATGGGAGACAGACTGGTTTAGTGGAAGCAACACTGGGAGCCTGGCAGGTGATCTGGGTTCTGGTCATTTAACTCACCGTGTGATCCTGCTCCAATTCCTCAACCTCTCTGGGCCTTCTGTGGCCCCCCCCCCCCCCCCCCCCCAAAATGAGAGATTCAGACTCATCGGGTTCGTAAACTTGCAATCCCCTCTCTACCCTAAACAAAGAGAACTGAACTTCATAAATATGCTGCTTCTGAGCTGGGCAGTGGTAGTGCACGCCCAGAGGCCGTGAGTTCAAGGCCAGCCTAGTCTACAAGAACTAGTTCCAGGATAAGCTCCAAAGCTAGAGAGAAACCCTGTTTAGAACCCTCCCCCACAAAAATGCTTCTTCTCTTGATGCCTTCAAGGAACCAAGCTTTGAAACATTTCCCAGTCACCTCTGCACCAAATCGTCTCCCTGGGACAACTGGTAACCAGAAAGGTCAGCCAGGCCGTGGGTGTCAGGGGCTGCTGGAGGTCGCCCAGCATCCTGGGGTACAGTTTCCAGGGTTCCCAGCTTGGAAATGCTCCTATCGCGTTGACGTGTGAAAGTCCAAGTTCAAGGGGAAAGGGGGGTGAAAGCAGCCTGTCAGTCACCTACCATAGGGTCCTGTCAGCAAAGCCCTAACAGGTGCAGGACTGGGGCTTGGCAGAGCCCCTCAGGGGCCATGAGAAGGCCACCCATGGGCTCGCTGTGACGTGGGAAGAAAACGCTCTGAGGATGTAGAGAACCTTCTTTTCTTTGTTAGGCAAAGAATCAAAAGGTCAGGAAGGGAGTTTGGTTTGTTCAAGGTCACCACACTGGGAAGAGAGACCAGGGTTCAAAACCATGGCTGGGAGACTCCAGAGCCTGACACTTGGTCCGTCTGTCCATCACTCCGCAGACTGGGAGACTGGGAGCCCTGGCCAGTCAAATAGTAAACACCAACCCACCTTATACTTCAGTCCGGACTTGAAGTAGCCAAGGAAGGTGGATGACTCAAAGCCCTGGACCTCACGGTGCTGCACAGCCCGGCCATTCAGATAGTCATCCAGCTGAACCGTAAAGATGGCAGCTGCCCCGCTCTCATCTTGGCTGCACTCGTTGCCTACGGAATAGCAGGGCAGCATGAGATTGGTATCTGGAAGGTAGTCTTGGCCCTTTGAGGAGGAGGCATCCAGAACCAACAGCTCTACTCTGGCCTGGCTATAGAAACTGAGTAAGTCCCTTCTTGCCTTCCAAGAGCCTCAGTTACTCCATCTGTATAATGGGGTAACCCTAAAACAAACAGATCAGAGCCAATGTTAGGGACTCTAGGCTCCTAACTGAGAAGAAAAAAAATGACAGAATAATTAGAGTTGAGTTAAAGTAGTGCAGAGGGATCCAGGGTCCCCAAGTCACCTCGCTGTCAGCACATCCACTCTATAAAAGCCCTGCTGAGTTACCAAGGTGGCTCGCAGGTCAGTGGGGCAGAGAGAGGACCTGAACTTGGCCATGCTGGCTCTGGAGTGTGGTGGTACCTGACCACTAACCAAGGCCTGACACACGTAGCACTCAACTTCCAGGTCTATCCATGCTTTGAGGGGCAGGGTGGTGGTAGGGGGCAGGAGCAGCTCACCCAGCCAATAGTGGAGGTCATACTGCAGATTCCCATTCCTCAGCTGCACTGTCTTCAGGATGACATACGCATCACCCGTGAAGAAGTCTCCATAGAGGTTGGGGGGCACAGGCACCAGGTCAAACTTCTCCACACGCCAGATCTGCAGGCCAGGCTCCTTCCCTGCCTTAAGGAATTCAGGGTGCTCCACCACCATGGTGCCGGGCTGCAGAGAGACAGGGCAGAACCTGAGCAAACGGTGTGGGTCTCGGCAGGGGGACCCCAGGCATGAGGGAGGGTGGGTTCCAGCACCAGGAGTGACTCACTTGAGCCTCCTGCTCGCCCCTGGGGTGGAGCGTCAGCCCTTTCCTGGGAGTTAAGTGTCTAATCCTCCGCCAGCCTTGATCTCCCACTCAGCTCTGTCCTTTGTTTATTGTAATGGAGGAGACCGAGAGCTCCCCGCCTTTTCTGTTGCCAATTTGGACAGCTAAGGTACACAGAGGCAGGCTGTCTTTCTGGGACCCTCAGTTGGGAACAACATAGAGGGATGTTCCTGGACCCCAAGAGTACTCTGGGTATAGGTACTCTCCCAGATGGTGGTGGCTCCTGGTCCCCAGAGATTCTGTTGGCTTTCTTCCAGCACCTTCTTAGGACTCATTATCCGCCCCTACTCTGCAAATGGGGAAACTGAGGATCCAAAAGGAAAGGGGCCTGACCCCAGGTCACATGGCCTATTTGCTTTGGCTCTTTGGAAGAGGGAAGATCACCTCAGGCGCCCCTCCCCATCTTCGGTCACACCCCAAGAAATATCATAGGCTTAGTGGGCCCAAGTGGCCTCCTGCGCTGTCTGCCTCCTCCCTCCTGCCCCACCCCAGAACCCACCCCATTTCCACATCTTGGAAAACGGGGAGGAATGGAGCCTGAAGTCTGCAGGAACCTGTTAGGAGGAGAAGGCCGAGGCTGGGAAAGGCTGCCAAGCATGCTCTGGGGATGGCGGGCGGCTGTGGGACAGCCTAAGGATGGAAGTCAGCAGGTCACCTCGGCCAGAAGGAGACAAAAGTTGCGCGGGAGAAGTGATAACAGACTGGGGAGAGAAACTCAAGACAGGTAGAGGAGGACATAAAGGGGACGCGAGAGGTAGGGATGGAGGAGAGGAGAGGGAATCACAGAAAGTAGAGAATAATAACAATCACGTCCACAGAAAACGGGGTTGGGGGGGCACCAAGTGAGGAAGAATCTGAGAGGAGACCAGCACGGGGTGGGAGGGCTGTGGGGGGGAGGAGTAGGACAGACAGGAGAAGAAATTAGACATGGTAAAGGAAATAGGATCCAGATCAGTAGTGGAGGAAAGATCCAGCCAAGGTGAGGTTAGCCTGCAGGGAAGAAAACAGCCTTGGCCCGGGGCCCCCACCCACGTCCCAGGAGCCCCGAAGCAGCAGGACATACTTACAAAGCAACAAAACAGTTTTTCCATTCTACACCTGAATTACTCCCCTTTTCCTAGCGCTGTATCTGCAAGAACTTACAATAGACAATTACTCGGGGAGCCCCGGTGACCCTGGACACTCACCCGCGCCTCAGACACCCGACCTTGGGGCGCCCTCACTCCGGTCGTGCCCCGCAACCCAGTGGCCGCACCGGACAGCGACTGTGCGCACAGCGCCAAGACCAGCGCGCAGAGCAGCGAGAGGTGCGGAGCCATGGCGACAGTGAGGACCCAGGCTGCGGCCGCGGCTTCGCGGTTGCCCCGACCTTTAAGTGGCTAGCCGCCCCATCCCGCCCCAGCTGGGGACCGCCCCGCAGGGAGGGCCTAGTGGCCCGCGGGGGAGGCGGGGATCTGTCCTGGATCTCGGAGACATCTGGGTTTCCACACCGACCCGAATGGGTGCGGTCGCCCCTTGGACCCTAAGTTCCAAACGGGAGATCCGGCATATGGTCTGACATACAGCAGATGCTAACTCGGTGAGAGCTGTTTTTCTGTGACCCGTTCAAACCCCCTCTTATAAGGCTCACAGGTTTAAGAAAAACTAAACAAACCAAAACGGCAAAATCCACCTAGCATGAACTAACCGGTTGTGGCGCTTTCTGCTCAAAGGCTCACTGGAGAATCCTCTTCAGATCAGATAATCTAAAGAGAGCGCATTTCACAGAAGGGGAAAAACAGTGCCGTCTGGAACTATTCTGCACCCTCTCCTGGGGAGACAGGATTTGGGTCTCCCTCCACTCCTCAGCTCATCACTGGGAAATTAGGGACCTAGGCGGTACTCCTGCGTACTGTACCTCAGTCTCCAGTCAGCATAGAGGTTACAGAGGGTTAGATCAGGCCTGCTCAGAAAGCCTGGTTCGCAGGTGAGAACGCTCCCTTACCAACCAGCTCCCTTCGGAGCCTGCGCTGCATTATTCCTTGTAAGATAGGACTGAAGTTTGCCCTCTCCCATCCCAGTGTCTCCCCACCTAAGAGGACATAGGTGAAGCCTAAGGGGACAGAGAGGACAGTTGGGACTGAGAAGAGCATCCCAGGGAGGAGCAACGTATGGGCAAAGGGCAGGCAAGCACAGGCCATGCCCAGAGAATAACAAGGGTCTGGCTTAGGGTGCTGTGGGGGGTGAGGCTGGCAAGGAAGGTGGGTAGCCTGAGGCCTTTGTGCAAACCTAAACCTCGGGATTTTATCAGGTGCCTGTAGAAGCCTTGAGCCCTCTGGGCTCCACGGTCTAGCAATCCACCCCCAGACCTGTGGAGCCTGCAGTGGGCTGCCCTGGTCTAACACAGAGTGGACTCACAGAACTGCTTTCTGTGGGCAAGGATATTCACTGAAGCATTGTTGGAAGAGAATTGGAAAGAACCCAAAACATCCTGGGGAAGCAAGTGATGGAGCTGTCACATAATGGACCACAGTGTAGCTGGGGGTGCGTGTGAGTTAGAGCCAATTGTGCCTCGTGGCACATAGCAGGCACTCAGTAGGCACGGAGAGGCTTCCAGGTGCAAGAAGCAAATTGCACAATGATGGCTATCGAGTGACTCTTCTCTTCCTTTCCAGGAGGGTGCAGGTTAGTGCACAAACCCTTGAAAAGTCAGTAAATGCCAGACTGTCAAAGCCCTCGGCATGCTTGGAAGTGGTGAAGAGAGCCGTTTCACTCCAGACCACCATGGCTGCCCGAGGCTGGAGGAAGTGCTAGGATCACTGTGCCTGGCACAAGAAACCTTTCAGGATGATGGGACATTTTTAAACCTATACCATGATGATGATCAAGCAATCGGTTCACACTACTGAAAAACCACAGAACTGTATACCCCAGTGAGTTAACCGTGTGTGCCACAAATTACATTCTGAGATGTAAAACAGCAAAACAAGATCTAAAATGGGACGAGAATATATTCAAGGGAGTTGCTGGTTTTGTTTGTTTAACAACTGTACTGTAGAAAGAATGCTTTAAGAACATGCGTAAAGGGACACTTGCTCTTTAGCCAACTTGGGAAATGGCAAGCAACCTGAGCCAGTGGTTGGACTGGTTCAGCAGTCCCTTAAGAGCAGTGTGGCCCCAGTCTGTCCAGCTGGTGATTAACAGAGGGCTGTTATGGCTTGGCCTCGACCCCTGGGGTCAGTGAACCAGCCCAGAGTCCCTGGCCCCAGGTTAATGTTCACAAAGGTGGTGTAGCTTTGCTGGCCAACAATGGAGTCTGGGTCATAGTGACCAAAGCCCAGCCTCTGCCTTCTGGGACCCTGGAGCCTAGAAACCTTCACTCCAGGGCATCAGTCAATGGGGACGAGAGGGGCAGCCTCTACTCTGTTCCATGCCTGGACGAGGCTTGAGATCAAGGGGACAAGGGGGTTCAAGTGAAGGGGAAAAGGGGCATGCACTGTGTTAAGGAAGGCTCTGTCACAGACGCCTGGATGACCAGGGGCGGCTCATCGTCCCTCTCTGGGTCTCAGTATCTATCCAAAAGCCAACACCTTGCTACTCTGACTCTAAGGCCATTTCTGGCCTCAGCACTCCCAGATCCCGGCTGCACCATCCTGCACAGAACCTACTTGCTTCTGAGCTTCAAGGCTTTCGTCTTCAAAATGGGGACCAGGTCACCTTGATAGGTCCTTCTGAATCAGACCAGCTAGGACCCCTGGTGTGAGAGGGAGACTCTGAAATCAGTAATAGCATGTCACCTCACCTCGGTGAGTAATCAAGCCTGGCTGCTGCCCTACAGAACCCCAAAGCCCGAAACTTCTCACTATAGAACACAGTGAATGAAGACTTTGATGTGGGAACCCTGCCTGACTCTGTTCCCTGCTTGGAAAAGGATGTATGAATCCAGGGGAGCAAGCGGATATGTACAAAAGAAAGGCAGACGCACCACTGACAGAGAAACTGAGACTCAGGCACTCATGTGGAAGTGGGTATTGCTGAGGTCCAAACTCTTACCAGGGACTCCTGGGCTCCAGTTCTATCTGGGAGATGAAGCAGGAGCCCTGGCCTCACCTCATCTGGACAGGGAGCAGCAACCCTGTGCAGGAAAAAGGTTGCTGATGCTTAACCAGTCCAAGCCCATGCCAGGCAGGCAGGCAGAAGTCTACTAGGCCGGGGCCAGAGGAGGTTCCAGGAAAGCCCTCGAGCCTCCAGATGCCTGATGTCATTACCCAGGACAACTGAGTGTCTAAGAAGATCCCAGACCATGGCCACTGGGTGGAGAAAGACTGTGGTACCTCCATATCAAGATACTCAAGTCTGGGATGGTTGCTCTGATTTCAATATAACATTGCTTACCATGGGTTTGTACATCCTAGTCCCTGCTCTTTGCTGTGCCTTAGGTACCTCCTTGACCCCCTTGATCGCCCATCTTGGCCGTTTGCAAGTCCTGTCCAGTGCCCCCTTCACATAAGGCACCTTCTCAGTATCTACCACAGGACCGAGTGGCACAGCTTATGTCCTTCTGTGGACCCCTCCCTCCCTGTGGTTGGATCGAGGATCCCATAACCATCTCTTGGCCCATTCTCTCTCCGACTAATTTAAAGTCTCTAGACCTCTGTGGGCTGTGTAGGGAGGCTACCAGATGAGAGGTCTCACCGTCACCCTTGGCAGGCTGGGAAGACACTCCCTGTCCTGTTCCCTCAGACCAGACACACAGCACTTCCATCTTCCCAGCAGCCAACCACTCACTGGAAGAGCTCCCTTCTTCCCTCATAGCTTGTTCGCTTTTGGCCCTGTGCTCTGGGTCCCCTGGGAGTACCCACCCTTCTGGCTTAGGATTTTGCCAGAAGGGACAAGGATCAGTAAACAGAGAGGCAGTTATGAAACCCCGTGAAACCAAACAGGGCCCGCACAAGTTCTGGCAAGCCCCATGGACCTGAATGCACAGACCTGGACAACTGTGGTCAAGGCCTCAGTTTACTCATTTTTAAATGAGGGTTTTAAAATGTCAGGCTCCTGGGACATCAGGGGACTCTAAAGTCTGATACACAGCATCTCCCAGAGGGTCTCTGAATAGCCTGCTTTCTTCTTTCAGAGGCCTGAAGGCAACGATCCTCACCTACCAAAGGGCAGCAGTCTGGAGCAATAGGAGTAAGACTACAGTTTTCAAATGGGACTTGGGCTCAGGCTAGACTGCAATCTGGACTGGGTTGTTTCCCTTTCTGAGCCTCCAGGCACTCATTTGTAAATAGGGACAGTAATATCCACCTGCAGAACTATGGGGGCAAATCAAAGGACTGCCAGTAGTAATGGCCACTGACCTCCCATCTTTTTGTAGATAACACCAAGCAGAAAAAGGTGATGCCTCCAGGCCATTGGGCCAGTATCAACAGCCTAGACTAAGAACTCAAGTCTGTGGGCAACCAGGCCAGAGCCAAGGCCTGGGTCTCATGGAACAACATGGCCAGCTGGCCCTCTGTCCTGGCCAAGTCTGTACTGGGTGTGGACAGCTATTGGGAAGATGGCCAGAGGGGTTTGGCTGATTCTATCCCAGGGATGGAAGCCACAGACCCTCTCCCAGCTCCCAGAGCCAGCCCCACCTAGTGCTGTGAGGACATTCAAAGGAGGTCTGGCCCTACCACCTCCTGGCCCCGTGCCCTGGAAGCAACAAGATTTGGCTGTGTATGAGTCCAGGTCTCTTCCACCAGGACTCACTGTAGCTATCAGTCTCTCCTGCCCTAAGGCAGATGCTCCAACCCTGAGAAACTCGGGCCTGCAAAGAACTGAGTCCTAGATCCTCACACCTCCACCCATCCCAGAACTCGGTAGCAACCCCTGAGAAGCCAGGGCACAAACACGGGTCCAAGCACAGGCATGGTGACTTGGGGCCAGATCAGCTGGAGACCTGGGTGAGGTGCAGACAGAAGGCAGGGTCTGTGATGCCCCTGCCACAGAGGAAGGGACAAGAGATGCCGCTGGAGGCAACCGCTCAGAGGAAGGATATGGGCATGTAATGGGGAAGAACTTCCGCTAGCAAAAGTGGGGGCTTAAGATCTACCCCTTAACCAGCTGAGTGGCCCTGAGAAAGTCACCTTGGCACTCGAGCCTCAGCGCCCTTAT